AACCCTCACGGAGGGTTATTCCTCTTCAACGCTCAAGTGTTCCTCCCACCATTTCTATAAATACTTTCCGTGTACAGAATGCCCTGTAACAGAACCGATAAAACGTTTCTGAGTGCGTTAAATTTATTTCCGGAATCTCTAAAATGGAACTGTATCACTCAGTCGGAGCGGGAGAGAAGGTACATCTAACACACTGAGAAGAGAAATTGGAGATTCAAGGCCTCTGACCTGGGCTACAGTTCGCAACGAACCAGTTGATTCCCATTAATTCCCGAATGCGAATTGTTAATGACAGAACGTCTTCTAATTGTTACAGGAAAATATAAAGCATTATTGTACTTACGAACAATTTTTGCGAATTCAAAATTTTTTTTCAATATAGTTGGTGTCTAAACGCACAAATTTATCCATTTTGTATATACTACGACTATGTACGGAAAAACTGGCAACATTTCAGAGTGTAATTAATGCGATTAACGTACATTATGATGTTTGCCCGCCGTTAACTTCTTGAGAATTCCATTTGATTCAAATCACGCCGCCAAGTGGTGTTATAAGGACATAGTGGCATCTGTCCGTCGTAGTTGGAATATGATAAGCATCTAGAAGGTCGGCGATTATCATGTAACTTGCCATACAATATTCAAGTCGGTGAAGTTTCAAAATTTAGCATCTGGATTATTACATTATGGTAGGATAAATAATGAACTTTAAAGCACACCCTCGCTGTACGAACGTAAAACCGCGATGAGAGAATTTAAGGTGGGAAATTGGGGTTGAGGGAACCAAATACACATGAAACATGATTCTTAAAATATATAGTTAATTAGTAATAAACATTAAATTATTTGTGTCGGCGTTTCTGGCTGAAAGATGCCAGAGTGCATGGCTATGAAGACGGAAGCACGTTTTCTTCGGTTGCTTCGTCTTTTTTTGCATGTTCCGACACACATCATAGTATGGTGTCGCCATCTCCTTGAAATTGTAGGCACTTCTCTATAAAAACAGCCAACCTCAACGAAATGACAGAGTCATCCGCCATCTGGAGGCCTTTCTTCGAAACACTGACCCTGAGCGACCACGAAAAAACGAGGAACGTACGCCGTGTTGCATAAATATTACAACTTTCCAGCGCATAAGTGAAGAAGACACATTCTTGTAGACATCTTCCGTTAGGTTTCCGTATTTTGCGCAACAGTGACAAGACAGGATCAATGTTCTTCAACCAGCGCACGGCGCGATCTCTTCGCGTCTTATTTTATTTCATCTGCCTGTAATGATGTTTCTTTATAAAACTGTTACGGCTTCGAGTTACATTTCATTAAAGGCGCTTCTTAAGGATAACTAACTCGTTCCAGCAGAGTCCTTGAGAAGCTAAGAGAGTGCTCATTTAGTCAACAAATTCTCCGCCCTTTACAGAACAGGAAGCCTCATTACCATGTTCACAAGAGTCCGCCAGATTAATCCAATATATTATTCGGAACATTATATTAATGTTTAATCTCGATATTTTTTTCCACGATCACAAGGTCTAAAGCGTTAGTCTTGAAGTTGAAACATTGAAATCGTTAGTTCAAATACCACTTGACGCTTGGAAGAATTAACCATCTTTTTTTTCGTCAGAACACAAGCAAACGAAACACGTGG